GTCTAGCGGTCTGGAGCAAAGAAGTATTTCTCATATTCTCTGTGTATGTGTGTGTGATACATGCATGCATGTATGTATGTGTGTACACATGTGTGTGAGCCCTTGCCTTTGTGTGCTTGTGGAGAGGCCAGAAGTCAATATCGGAGGTCCTCTCTCTCTACCTGAGGGTCTTTTGCTGAACCTGGAGCTTGTGAGCCAGTGATCCCCCAGGATCTGCCTGTCCCCACTGTCCCCGTGATCCACTCTGGAGTTATAGGCTTTTATGTGGGTGCTGGGAATTCGAACTCAGGTACCATGTTTAGCAACAAGCACTTTACCCACCGGGTCATCTCGCCAGCCCCTCTCATGCTGAGTCCTAGCCTTCCTATAGCACTCAGTCCGAAGGACACTTTCCACATTGCCTTAGTCACAAGTCATCTTCCTTTCCTCTCTTCCTTCTCCAGCACTTGATCTGTGCCTCTCCCAGCATACTGACCACCTTCCCCTTTGTATCTTGTGCTATAGATTCTTTCTAGAATGCTCTGTCTAACCTTTCAGACTTCTGGACATGCCTACTGTATCTGACCCAACCTCAGCTCTCTACAGCACATATCCCAGTGTCTTGAATATACTAATAGTAATCATATAAGCCATGCTTGCTGAACAAAGGGGTCCTTCTTGAAAAATTTCAAGTAGACACAGATAAATGTACTGACACAACGGAGAAAGGAGGGTGTTTTGGAAGATGGAATGCTAGGCACAAAGCTCCATATATGGGAATGTGTGGGGAGACCCTAAACTGCCTGGCTGAAATGGAGGGGAAAAATGCTGCATAAGGAGAGAAAAGAAATGAGTGGTGAGCGGGAGGTGAGGGGGACCATAATCGTTGCTGGACCGCTCTGGCTGCCAGCTGGAAGGGAAGTGCAGACTGTCAGAGCTGGAGGGTTTGCAATGATCCCAGCTGGCAGCCCAGCCAACGGTGGCTCTCTCCTCCAGCATTCTGCCCTGCCGCTCTGCCTCTTCACAGTCTGCAGACTCTTGCCAGGCAGTAACGGAAAAGACTGAACCAGTGTTCAGTTTACTGCTTTCCCATCTGTGCTTTGTGGTGCTCTGGCTGGAGCCTGGGGCAGGGAGAGGGAGCATAGGTGGTCATGGGGAGACTACATGGAGGGTTACTGCCCCATTCACATGGGTTGTAGTGGCCTTTTTGGATGGGGCAGGGTGCAAGCAGGAGAAAAGTAAAGTTTGAGTTATTTATTATTTATTTGTTCACTTACTTATAGCTAGGTTCTTGCTATATAGCTTTAGACAGGTTGACCTCAGTTTCACTCATGTAGCCCAGGCTGGCCTTGAACTTGAAATCCTCTGAACCCAGCCTCTCAATTGCTGGGATTACAGGCATTAGCCACCACACCCCACAACTTGAGATGCATTTTAAAGGTAGATACAGAACAAGGTGAGGGATGTAAGGTTGAAGAAAATGGAATTGTTGAGGGTGACTGGGCTGTTTCAGCTGTAAAAAAAGAGACACTAGCACAGGCTAGGGTAAGTGTGGGATGAGATGATGCCTCTTTGGGGCTCTAGAAATGCAGCCTGATTGCAGAAGCCAGCTGCTGCTTCTGGAGGTGGGGAAGGTTGGGTGCCACCTGGAGGCCCTGCAGCCCTTCTTCTCTGAGGCATTCAAGGCATCTTCAGCTGTATGCCTCAGTCCTTTCCAGACCATTTCTTCATGCCTTTCTCTTTTCCTCTCCCTGGGCCCCAGCCCAAGCCTCAGGTTCCCCCAGAGCTCTTGACCAGCGAAGTCTTTGTCAGTGGATGATCTGCATGTGATCACAATCTTTAGTCTTTGTACCTGTCTGAGGAGACTCAGAGGAGGTGCAGTACAGAAAACTGTGTGATCCCACTTTGGGCCCAACCCATTCAATTGGAAGTGGCGAGGATGGGGAAAAGTTATCTAATTTCAAGTTATCCTTGAAAGAATTGCTAAGCCTCAGTGGTTAAGAGTGTGTGCTGTTCTTTCAGAGGACCCAAGTACAGTTCCCAGCACCCATGTCAGGCAGATTACAACCAACTGCAACTCCAGCTCCAGGGGCATCTGACACCCATTTCTGGCTTCCATGGGCACACTCAAGTGCACATACACACATATAATTAAAAATGGTAAAAATCTTTAAAAAAAAAAAAAAAGAAGAAGAATTGCTAAGCTAGTGTCAGGCTGGCTCACCATAACTTCTTGATTGGTTTTAATCTTGTAATTCCTCTCTCAAAACTTTTATGTTGTGTTTTGAGTCAAGGTTCAGAGGCTCACTCAATACTTTAAGCTCACTAGATAGCCTAAGCTGTCTCAAACTTGTAGTAAACTTTGGCCTCCGCCTCCCTAATGCTGGGGTTACAGGTGTGAGCCCTGGTCTGGTTTCAGAACCTCTGAGGGTATATGTGTATTAAAATATATAGAGAATGTATTTACCTGGGTTTTTTGTTTTGTTCATTTGTTTTTAGACAGGGCCTTACTCTGTCCCAGGGTACCTTCAAACTCATGGTTGCCTTAGCATTCTGAACACTGGGATGAGCCACCACATCTTAACCATTTTAGAGTGTATAGTTCAGTGACATTAAGTACATGCACAATCCATCATCAAATAGACAAAGGCTTATTTTAATGATTGACCCACATGATCTATCCCCAAGGCCACTATATGCAGACATGAGAGGAGAGCCTCATTTCTTGGTCCTTTCCTCCTTGAACAGAGTCTTGCTGATTTCCTCTTTCCGGCCTGGAGGCCCTCTTCACCATGCCTGCTTGCATATTTCCTTGGTCTTACACCTTCCAGCCTTGCCTGATCAGCCAGCAGCTTCCTGCCAGCCTTGTCAACTTGAGTGTGTTCCACAGGAGAATCTGCTTGACTTTGAACACATTCCCCTTCACCTTCAGGTACAGGCTGTGATACATGTAGAAGCCAATCTTCTTAAATTCCCACCAGCCGATACACAAGGGTTCCAATTTCTCCCATCCTCTTCAACACTTTTTAAAATATATGTAGCTATCCTATTGGATTGCATTTCATTGAAGTTTTGATTTATATTTCTTTAAAAATTAATGATGATGAGCCGGGCGTGGTGGCGCACGCCTGTAGTTCCAGCACTTGAGAGGCAGAGGCAGGCGGATCTCTGTGAGTTCAAGGCCAGCCTGGTCTACATAGTGAGTTCCAGGACAGCTGAGGCTACAGGGAGATCAAAAAGACAAAAAACCAAAATAAATAAATAAATAAAAAAAAAAGATGAAGATGAACGTTCTTTCTTGTGTCAGTCAACCATTTGTGTGTGCATGTGTGTATTTGTGGTGTATGTGTGAGTACTGGCATGTAAATGCCATGGCACATGTATGGAGGTCAGAGCACAACTTTTGGGAGTTGGTCCTAGCCTTCACTGTGTTTTGAAGCAGGGTCTCTCATTGTTTTTGTGGCTGCTTATACCAGGCTAGCTGGGCCACCATCTCCCAGATGATTCTGTCTCTGCCTCCTATTTCCCCTATGAGTGCTGGGATCACAGCCTTGCACTACCACATCTAGCTTTTACATGGATTCTGGGGATCAAACTTGGGTCATGAGGCTTGCTTGGCATTACCCGTTGAGTCATCTCCCCGGTCCTCAGCTGATCATTTCTGTGCCTTCTTTGGAGACATCTATTCAAGTGCTTTGCTTTCTCTCCCTCTTCTCTTTTTCTTGTACTAGGAATTAAACCCAGTGCCTGGCACATGCTAGGCAAGTGCTCTAATGAGCTTCCATCTCCAACCCCTCCCTTTGTACGTGTGTGTGTGTATGTGGTCTGTAGCCCAGGGTGGCCTTGAACTCATGGTGATCCTCCTGCCTCAGTCTCCTGAGTGCCAGGATTATAGGTATGAGCCAATATACTTGGCTTCTTGTTTTTATTTTTTATTTTGAGAGAAGGTGCTTTTGCTTCAGCCTCCAAAGTAGCTGGGATTACAGGCCTGGTAGTACAGGCTTGGTTCCAAGGTGCTACCGAGTTCTCAGGACCGCAGTCTGTGCAGTGGCGGTGCCTGCCCAGACAGTATTCTGTCGCTTTCAGTAACTAGGGCGATAGGATGGTGGTGTGTCATTTGAACCGGCTGAGGATAGTTCCACTGCCTTTTCCGTCCTCCCCCTCCGCCCACCGAGCTCCACTCAGCACCAGCTTATGTTTTAAGGCAATAAAGCAACACGGCCTTTCTAATTAGGTAGACCCCAAGGCAGCTTGATTGGAGGCAATGACAGTCTTACAAGAGCGAAGCTCTTTCTGTGGTGTTAAAACAGAAGTCAACCTGATCATTGGGGTTGGGGTGGGGACGTGGAAGGCTTTCCAACAAAAAGAAGTCTATTTAACCGCCCCCCCCCGCGCGCAAAAAAAACAAACAGCAACTCTTCTGGACGATTCCAAAGTTTTAAAATTACTCTTGCCCTGAGTTCAGTAGGGTCGGTGTCTAATGGTGATCCGGGATCCGAGCCACCCAGCTCCGCCCCCCCCCCCCCCCCCCCCCCCCCCAAAAGCCCTGCTTAGCATCCAACGCCAGCAGGCGCACGCACTTGAAAACTTGGGACCAGTCTCTAACTCTCGGGGAGGGGACAGCCTCACCCCGCTACCCCGGTGGCCTCGCTGTTCCCCAACTTTCTGCCCCACACCCTAACGTTAGACCGTCCAGGTTCTAGAAACAAGCCCAGCAGTAGCGCCTTTCGCGTGCACGGAGGACGAAGCCTGGACCTCCCCGAGAAAGGGGCTTTCCTTCGCATTTCTTTGGGATGCTGGTCCAGCTGGAGAGAGGGGGAACCGGAGAGGGCCAGGGCGCGTAGCCGAGGGCGGCCGAAGGCGGGGCGCGAGGGCGCAGAGGGGCGTGGGCGCGGCCGCGGGTCCCGGCCGGCCAGGGGGAGGGGCGCTGGCGGGAGCG